TAGGCCGCCTTCTGCCTCCATTCTTCCTGGGGGGAGAGGCAGCAGCTCAGCTCAGGCCCCTCATGAGTGTGCGACCCGCCCAGCCCCCAACTCTGAGAGGAGACACCCAGCACCCTCCTGGGCCCTGCACCTCCACCCCAGCTCCAGGGTCTCCTACCCTCAGCCAGGAAGCTAAAGGCCCGGGACCTGCTCTCCGTCCGAGTCCTGCTACAAGCAGCCTGAGTGCTCCCAGAACCGCCAGGGCCTCACCTTGACGGCCCTCTCCAGCTGGGACAGGGCCTCCTCGTACTGCGGGACCAGTGGCTGCAGGAGCTCGCTGGGGGTGTCGTGCCGCTCCAGCTCGGGGACCCCGGCTTCAGTCAGCATCCGGAGGAACCTCCTCTCCTGGGGGGAGCATGAAGTTCCGGGAAGGGGCTGCCACCTCCCCTGCCCCGCCTCCCGATCAGTCCTCGCCTGACCTGCACTTTGAGGAGCAGCGTGAAGGCCTGTCCAGTGTTCCCAGCACGAGCAGTTCTTCCCACCCTGAAACCAAGCACAGACACTCGAGAGGGGCCCCCAGCCCTCCACAGTCTCCCCCCCTCCCCCGCACCCCAATCCAACCACAGCCTCTCACCGGTGCACGTAGGTCCGCAGGTACTGGGGGGCATCGTAGTTCACCACCAGCTGCACCCCCTGCACGTCGATGCCGCGGGCGGTGGCGTCTGTGCTGATGAGGCTGTTGAGAAACGAGGGGTGTGGGACCCGCCTGAGACTGGAACACCCCCCCTACTGGGGGCCCGGCAGACACCAGGGGCCAGCACCCTCCCAGGGCACTCACAGCTGAATCTTTCCCTGTTCAAACTGCTTCAAGATCCCCTTCCTCTGGCCGGGCCCGTAGCGGGAGGAGAACTCGGCCACCGTCACGCCCCCAAACGCCTGGACGAGCAGGAAGAGCCTGGGGGGGAAAGCCGGGTAGGCCAGGGCCAGGGCCAGGGCCAGCACCCCCCCTCCCCCGCCCGCCCTGCGCTGCTCACCCCCAGCCTCACCTGTGGGAGTTCTCCCGGGAGTTGGTGAAGCAGAGGATCCTGGAGAAACCCAGGTGCAGGATCAGGTGCAGGACGACCAGGGGCTTGGCGCGCAGGCGGCAGGGCACATAGTGGTGCTGGGGAGACAGCCTGCGGTTGGCTCGGCCCCCAGCGCCCGGGCGCCACCCTCCCCACCCGGGCACCCAGCTCACCGAGAGCCCCGCAGGGAAGGTGTACTTCCCACCCGAGTCCATGTCCTCATCAGTATCCCCGGGACCCCCGCGCGCTGGCCGCGTGGAGAAGAGCCAGGGCTGGTGCAGGCCCAGCTGCTGCAGCTTCTCGGGGTTCTGGGTCAGCGTGGCCGAGAAGAGTAGCTTCTGCAGAGGCATCTGAGGGCAGCAGGTGCTGGAAGGGCACAGACGCTGAGGCGAGCCTGGGCCTGGCTGCCCGCCCTCATGACCCAGACAGACCGGACCGGGCGCTCCCCCAGGGCAGGGCAGGGCAGGGGACCAGTACCTGGCAGCGGTCACGACCTGGGGCTGCCGTCTCTGGAGCAGAGCGAAGGGGTCCTTGGCACCCTCCCCAGGGAAGGCCGCCGCCACCACCCGGGGGAGCCAGGACTGGTGCATGCTGTCTATCATCCGGTCGGCCTCGTCGACGACCTGCAGGCGAGGAGGCCGGGCTCCGGTGGGTGAAGCTGGCGTCAGCCAGCCCGGGCCTCCCCTGGGTGGGTGGGCAGCCTACCAGGAAGCGGAGGTGCTGGAGGCTGAACCCCGGGGTCTGGTCCACGTGGTCCACCAGGCGGCCGGGAGTGGCCACCACGATGTCAGCCAGGCAGCGGAAGCCGTCCACCCTGCAGAGCAGAGAGCGCTCAGCCGAGACCCCACTGCCCCCGATCCGGGCGCCTGCGGCCAGGGCCACACGGGGCTGTGCCCTCCTGCACCCGCCTCCCCAGGCCCGTGCCCAGCAGGACCTACGTCTTCTGGACGAGGCTCTCCTGCTCCTTGGCCAGCGACTTCTGCCCGGTGACCAGGGCGACGCGCAGAGGCGTGGCGTCGGTGTAGACGTTGAATACTTTGCTCACCTGCAAGAGGCCGTGTCACCGCCTGGCCTGAGGGGTCACGCCAGTGAAAGGACTCTGGGGTGACCCCAGGCACGGGGTCCTCGTACCTGCTGGGCCAGCTCCTTAGTGGGCAACACAACCAGGGCACGAACCTGGCACACAGCTCGCTGCAGCAGGGCCTGTGGGCAAGGAGGGCCACTGTGTGAGCAGAGCTGGCTTCCGCCCGCCAGCCTGCTAGGAGGGAGGGGCCCTCGCGCTCACCTGCACCACGGGGATGACAAAGGCCAGGGTCTTCCCACTGCCCGTCGGGGCAGAAACACAGAGATCCCTGGGCTGGTAGCCGCCTCTGGCCACGAGGAACCCTTGGGCCGCACTCTCTAGGAGAGCAGGAATGACCGCTGCCTGGACTGCAGGGGGGAGAAGGGCCGGTCAGGTTCGGGCAGGAGCACCCCGTCAGCACAGGGACCAGGGCCAATCTGTGACCTCCAAGCTGGAGTGCTCTCCCAAGGGAGCACCAGACGCTGTGCCCGTGTAGGGCTGCCCCCTGTGGCCTGGCATGGCTCCGGAAGAACCCCGGTCCCCGGCCCGAGGCTGGAGCACCTGGGAAGTAGGACGAGATGCCATGGGCGCGAAGCTTCCTCTGCAGGTCAGGGTGGACTTCCGGGATGTCCTCGATAGGCACCAGGTCTTCAGTGACGTTCCTCCCGACACAGCTCGGCTCGGCCAGCCACGTCGGCAGGAAAGGCTGGACCTGTTGCAAAAGGTGAGAAACAGAGGCCAGGTGACTGCTCCCCACCTTGCCCGGGAGCGCGGCCGCAGAGGCTTTCCCTGGCGTCCTGGCTCCCCCTCGGTTCCCCCTGACCCACGTCCCACACAGCCTCTGAGGAATTAAGAGACACACCTGGGCGCAGCTCCCAGAGCAGATCCGCCCGCGGGCTTCCCCTCACGTAAGTCCACACCGGGCAGAACCTGCCAGGCCCCCCGACACCGGGCACTCACCTGCCCTGACCTCACTTCCATCAGTGGCCACACCCCAGACGTTTAAACCTCTGTCCTCACACACCAAGCTCATCGCTGCCCCACAGCCTCTACCTGGCACACGCCCCGCCCCACCTTAACCAGACGGCTCACGGGGGATCCCACACGTGCCCCGACAGAACCCTGTGCCGTGGCCACGGGCGTGGTGACCCAGTTCACACTCGGAGGAGAGCAGGAATGACCACTCCTATTCAACACAGCACCGGAAGTCCCAGCCACAGCGACCAGCCCAGGAGAAATAGGCCCTGGCTGGCGTTGCTCAGTGGCTAGAACGTCAGGCCACACACGGAAGGGTCATGGCGTCGATGCCAGGGCAGGGACCTGGACTGCAGGCTCCATCCCTGCCCAGGCGGGGCGGGGCGCGTGCGGGAGGAAACCGATGGATGTGTCTCTCTCACATCCGTGTTTCTCTCTCCCCAGCCCCTCCCACTCCCTCTAAAAAAGAAAAAAGATGAAAAAATGTCCCCGGGTGAGAATGATCAACAAAAAATCCTGCAAGATGCGAGCTGAGACACAGCTCCTCCACCCGCTCACCGATGGACGCCCGGAGGCGCAGGCACCCTCCTCCCAACTCCCCCGCGAAGCCCCGCTGGACTGACAACCACCACCCAGCCCTGCAGCTCCCACCCCGGCCCGGCCCTCCCACCTCCAGGCCGCTCACCTTGGGCGCCCTGCT